TATGGCTGAAAAATAACATCCCCACCCTGCCTTTTTTCCAAATTTCCAAAGCTAAACACAGCAGCCCCAAAACTCAGAGTCTGCCTACATAATTTGAGTTATTGGGTGCATGTGACCTGCCTTCAAATCTGTGCATATCCTGAGCCACTCAGCATTGTACCAGTCAAAAAGGGGAGAAGGGAATTTAAATTTTAATTTAAAACCACTGGACAGCTCAGACCAGATCCTAAATTACTATAATACATTCCTGCTCCCAGATCAGAAATGCTAGCTCTGGGGCATGGAAGACAGGATTGTGTTCGCAGATATAATTTGGTTTACGAATTAACACTAAGAGGGGATACACATAAATACACACACACACACACACACACACACATATATATATATATATGTGAATTCACCATCATTATGGACAAAAAGTTAATATTCATTTATCCACTTTCATCCTCATTCCCTGCCCCCCAAAATCTCCAATCCTAACAGAAAGTTTAAGATGAACTTGGCTCACTGGAACTATAACATGAAAGCAAAGTCCAGCATCCTCCGTACATGTTTCCATATATGAAAAAGCAGCCTTGTTCCTCTGCTCAGTGACAGAGATTCTGACCTAAACCAGTGTGATGAACGCGTCATTAATCTTTCCAAAAACAAACAGGCGGGAGCCCTTCCCTGCGACTGGGTGACCCACACCGTGAGGGGCTCAGCCCAACTTTGGAGCAGCGGCTCCAGGCGTGAGATTTTCCAGGAGGTGCATGCAGGCCAGAAAGACCAGGGCAAAGGCATAACTCATCGTGGAGTGGGACTTTTCTAGCTGACTTGTAAAGGACGACCTTCACGTTCTTCAGCACCTTCCTCTCTTCGAACTCCAGCAACAAGACACGGGGAAGGATCTTAAAACAAAACACCTACTCACTGCACATCTCCTGCTCTGCTGTGCCAAATTTCGGTGGACCTGGGTAATGTTAAATGTAGCCGATGGCTCACCCACATAATCATACGCTATGTTTTACACTGCTTCCAGAGCAGATACATTAAAAATAATCCAGCCGTGGCTCCTACCCACTGAAGTCAATGAAGGTTAGGAAAGCCAAGGGCCATGGGCAGGCACTGCTACTCCAGCCCAAGAAACTGTCAAGACAGGAAGTGCAAGTCAGAGCATTCAAAGCCACGGGGATCTCCTCTCCTCTGAGAGAGAGAGAGAGAAAGAGAGAGAAAAAAAGCAACGAAAAAGGCACAAGGATATTTCTTTCCACTCCAGAAGTCCTCCGCGCTCCCAAAAACGCTTATTCTGGGAACTCTTCTAAGAATATTTCCATTGGCTTACACCAAATTAAGCTTTTCTCTTTTTTTAAGGTCAAAGGGAAAGGAATAAATGTCATCAATTTAAAGGACAACACGCCATGCATTCTTTTCTGTATCGCTGTGAATGTGATCGTGTTAAAACATTTTATAGGTAAAATAAATGTCAGTTTTGCGACGCGCGATACCAGACCCTGGGAGACGAAGGGCCTATCCGTTGCATCTCTGGCTACAGCAAGGCTCCCTCACCTCACAGGAGAGTCGGCTTTTCATCTTTCTCTTTACCCAGAAAGCCCAGCTTGTACAGCCTCTTTCAAATGGTAACTCTCTCTTATGCTGAGGACTCTGGTGGGGTGGTGGGGTGGTTTAAAATAAAATAAAATAAAATCCGAGTGTGTGAATGGTGCTCCTGTGGTATAATACCTTCCTGAATAGGCAGCAGAGTGAGAGAAAAGGTTAGGCTAAATTCCTGGGTTATAAGAGATGTTACGTTGCTTTAGGTTTAATTCGTGATAAATATTCAAGGGAAATGTGATATTTTATCGGAATGTCATTCAAATCGGAGAGGCTGCACATTTACATCACAAGAGCACTCTCAGGATCAAACTACCCTCAGGGAGAGGAACGGCCACCGGAACACACAGCCCAATAACAACGGTGCTTCCAGACCCGAGGATGGGGATGGAGGCGAGGGGAGTTTTGGAGACAGCTGACTCAACTTTCCGAAGGAGGTGACTTGTTATGACATGCGGAGTAATTACCGTTCATGTCAGAGACGCGATTTCAAAGCTCATTTCCCATTCTTCTCGGTCCTACCCGAGACGGCACCTTCCAACCACCAAGTGAGGAAAAGAACACAAAACAGAGAGAAATTATGCCAGTCTCTTCGCTGGGATGAGGGCTGTCAGAGGTTGCTTTGCTCATAAGCTGAAGGGGAAAAGCAATGTATAGATGGATGGCCTGGGGTTTTCTGTTTTATTTCCTCATCCAAGAGTTGGATGCTGCGTTGCAGAGCAGACAAAAGACATTAATTAGAGAAGTCTTTCCACAACACACACATGATTTTACAAGTCAAAAAAAAAAAGCATAAAGATAAAGAAGAGTCATTTGTCTTAAAGGATAATAATTTTGAGTAATATAGTCCCTGGAAGCAAAGTGAGTGCGTTCAGAAATGCCGTTTAGATTAGTCTAATTCTATAGAATCCAAATGTGCACCCAACTCTGCACTTTTTATGTTAAATTGCTGTTGAATTTGTTAACCCACAACTGATTTCCTGTGTTATGGAATCTTGGAGATTACAGCTAACTTGAAGCAACAGGGATAATTCTTGACAGTTAATGGTAGATTTGTCTGTATTTTCCTCAAAGGCTAGCATCTGGAGGCCTCCAACTGGAAGCTCAACATTGCCCCCTACTGATTGCAACTGAAAAAAACACGAGGTGGGCTGGGGCAAAGCAGGAACTGAACCAGCCAGTGTCCACAACACAAGCAGAGCATAGACTTTCCCAATGATCCTTCTCTTTGTCTCCTCCCATCGCACAAATAAATGATGATGTATTTGTTCAAAGTCATTAAAAGCGGCTCGAAGCCATGCTTAAATTTAATTTAGAAGTGCTATCCCTTTTATCTCCGCCCAGACCTTCCCCGTGCTGATAACGATCGTCCCCGAGCTTTGCTGCGAGACACTGAGGCCATTCATTGTGCTCCGAACACTTGGTAACGCCACACCGACTGCAAGCCAACTCGCTCTGGACAATTCCCAAGACCACGCTCTTCTTTTTTAGTATTTTTTACATGAGCATTATAAATAGAAGATATTCCATTGCATGGGCCACCGCCACCAAAGTTTTAAAAAGCATTATAACTCTTACGTGAATTCACAACGAACATCATTGGGAAGCTCCCAACAGCAAAGTTTTCACTTAAAAAGAAGAAAAGCTTGAGAAAAAGCAACTGAAAAACATTTTAAACCAAATCAGGGAGTTCCTTTCTTGTCTGTCTGCCCATTCTAATTCACGGACTTGTCAAATTACAACCCTCAAGGTCAAGCTGACGTCTTACAGTCAAGGTTCAGCAAAGAAAGACGTTCTGACTCTGATGTAAATGGACGACGCCAGAATGAAAAAATGCACAGCCGGAAACTGAAGCCCCCCTTACCTACGCATCCCATAAAATCAGAGCACTCCCGACGCAGGCGAGCGGGAGGGACAGAACTAACGGAGGAGGTCCAGGCACCGGCTTTTCATCGCCTCCCGCTCAGGGTTATGGTGCTCAGGTTTGTAGTGATTCATTTCCCTGGAGAACTCCATTTTGGGGATACTTTCCGTATTCTAAAAGAAGGGGCACAGCATTCCTTCCTCAGACACATAATCCACGAACGGGCAAGGTTTACAGACTTGGGGAGACGTCTGGAAAGCAGGGACTTCTGGGTCTGACCCAGACTCACCAACCAGGGCCCCACCAGGGTTGTGACTTGATGTGTTCATTATGATAAAACAGGGATGAGCAAGAGCTAACCCATTTTTGCACAAGAGTTCCTCCTTTCCGGAGCATTTTAAAGTCTGTGCAGCGACGCTCTCTCCAGAGTTTCGTGGGCGTTTATCACTTCTCCACGGCCCTCCAAATTCAGCTGTGTGGAGGCGGGACCCTAGCTAGAGCCACCATTCCTAGTTCCAATCCCAGCTCCCCACCTGGAGTCAATGACCTTGGGGAGGCAATGTAGACCTTTCGCACTTCAGTGTCCTTGCTTGCAAGATGGGGAAAAAAAGCACCTACTTTATGGGCTCATCATAAAAGTTAAGTTATGTTTAAAGCATTGAGAATCGTGTCTGGCACTTAGTATCATGTAAGTATTTGCATTAAGACCTAATTCAAGTCCTCCATGTGGCCTCATCTTGCCTTCCGGTTGCTAAATTCCCTGCCCTGCCCCCCAAAGTCCTCGTCTCTCTCGACACCCCCACTTCTGATCTTGTTTATACAGTTCCCGGGGCCTACACTCCTCTCCAGACGCCCTCTCCACCCAATGTCCCCGAAAGCCACACCTGCCACTTTGCAGCAGTCCCAGCTCCCGTGGTCTGAAGTTGATACCCGCTCTGCTGGACTGCGATTTTCCAAAAATCTCCATCACCACCATCCGTTGGCTCCAATGTGATACCTGGATATCCCTAAGTCCCCTCCTGGTTAAACTGAGGGTCGTGGGTACGGGGACAAGCTGCAGAGCCAGCCCGCCAGCTCACAACCCCGCAGGGTCACTCACTGGGGGACCTTGGGTGACGCACTCACTCCTCTGTGCCTCAGTTTTCACATCTATAAATGAAGGCTCATCACATTTCTGCGGCTCATGGGACGGCTGTAATAATTTGAAAAGTTATTAGAGGGAACCCCCTTAGAATAAGGCCTGGTGCATGTAAAAAGGCAAATAAATTTTAGGTGTTATTCTTACATCGTTCTCCCCTCATGGTTATTTCCTGGAGCGTGTAACACAGTGCCTTACAGGTAGGAAATGTTCAAAAAATACTCCTCCAGCTGAATCGAGGCTGCACTGATGAAAACCTGCCCGTTCAGGGACCTTACCAGAAGTAACCAGCCTAACTCGATAATTTAGAATAGCTGGATGTGTTCACCTATGCAAATGAGGCGGCGGCGAACGTCTACAGTGCCCCCTCCCAGGAGCTGCTCGCAGACCCCGCGGCCTTACCACGCCTTCCATCTTCCTCCACATCTCCTCCAGCTGGGCCATGGGCTGACTCCACCAGTCGGTGCACCTGCTGTAGCGATTGCCTTGGAACCAGAACTGTCTCAGCCACTCAAACTCCACCTGCGGACCATAAAGACCAGGCTGTGGTTACAATGCCCTTGGGACGGACCACCAAGGACGATGACTTTGTCCCTCAGTTCACCTCCAGGGACTTCACAGCCCTGGGATGAGAACAGGGAGAAAGCTCAGCCTCCCCAGTTCGCACCGTGACCTGGGGTCCCCGGAGCATTCCTGCAGAGCCAGGGAAAGAGCAGACGTAATGCGCAATGAGACAACTCAGCTCGGGCTGGGAGGGATTTTCAGCCACGTTTATCGGTCAATCAACAGCAAGGACTGGGATTCTGAAGTATACAGCAGCCCTCGGTAGGTGCAATGGGAAAGATATAATCACACAAGGTATGTTTTTATTACATAGCTTTAGTAAAGATTAGCATGAGGAGCCAAATTCAGACACACATTAGGAGATAGTGACATTAAGTGTTTTAGGTTGAAAATGAAGAATTTACCCACGGGTCTGGGGTCCTGGTGATAATGTTGACCCATACGACTGAACGACCCAAAGTTAACCATGAACACGTGCATCCAATGTACCCTGCAGAGCTATTCAAATCGTCCGTTTTCAACTTAGGACAGTGGCCGCAGGTCCAAAGAGCAGCAAAAACAAACGATTTCTTTTCCTTCCTAGGAAGCTACTGTAGTATATTTCTATTATTCACCTTCGTAGCTTTCCTCCTTCTATTCAAGCCAAACCCCACTGTTCATTTGGTAACCCACCCCCTTCCGAGTCTCAGTCCACATGGTCTGAGCAGAGCTCTGGCTCTGATACCAGCAGTTAGCCCACCATGTTTCTTTACTCCACAGAACTGAATTTTGGGGAAATAGGCCTGTCTGTGTTCTATCAGAATAAGTCTTGAGACGGCAGACTGTCAGAAGTCAACAGGAAGTGGATTCTGCAACCAATTCGGCAGAATGGAAAAAATCGAGGAACCAGCTGCAAGAGGAACTGATCAAAACTGGGTCCTAGTAACATCAACTGACTCTTGATCAAGCTATTCCTGAAACTCCTTTTGCTTAAACCAGTTCAGGTGGTTAATTTCTTTTTGTCTCCTGCAACTGAAATGAGCCCCATATATGTACATGAGGTTAAATAAAGCTTTGAAAAGATAAGAAGTTCTTTCCTATCTATTTTCCAAGGCGCCTATCACTCATCTTAACGGGAAAATCAGATTTTACCATCAAAGTATGACTCCATTCATCCCCAAATGCTTTTTCAAGAAATGCAGAGCTTTTACAGCTTAACATCAGGTCATCAGGCTTTGCTAATGTAATCATGTTGCACACACAGGCACCAACCTATTATAATCTTCACCTGCCACCACAAAGAATTTTTGTGTTTGTTTACCCATGTTGAACTTTCATGAAGCAAACAAAAGCAACTGGTGAAGTTTTAACAATGGAGAAAATGACTCAAATAACTAACCCGAGAACACCAAGTCACACGAAAGGGTTTTAGTTTACCTTAACTAGATGTTTGATATGGAGAAGTGATTTCGGTTAAAGTTGTTTAAACAACCAAAAAAAAAAAAAAGGAATGTAGACAATATTAAGACAATGGTTTCTAAGCCTTACCTGTGGCACAAAAGACAGTGGTTAACAGAAGTGAACTTGACTGCTTTGAAAGCGGAATAAAAGCAAGTGTACATAGTTCAACTTCTCTGAAGGTATAGAATTAACAACCTCATTTATTACATGAAAAAAAAGAGTTCTGTTTAATAGACACAACATGAAATTAGTTTACGCTACGGGAATAAACTGCCAGCAAAGCACTAAGCCCTATGTTAAGGAAAGTTGAAAAGATTTTTTGAAGTGTTTTGTATCTTTGGGCTGGTTATTTCCATTAATGAGGACAGAACATAAAGTCTTGGCAAGTAGAGGATCCTATGTAATTACTTCATTCCACCCATCAGGGTCCCAGAGAGTCTGGCCTCCAGTGAATTAAAACTCAGAAGCAAGGAGACAGCTTTCCAACAAGAGAGACCCTGTCCTTTTTAGTAAACAATGACTTCATCTTTCCGCTCAGTTGTACAACTCTCTTTGCAGGCAAAAGGATGCCATCGTTAAGAGTAAGGGCTCTGGGGTCAACTCAGAACTGGGCTTCACTAGGGAACAGCCATGCCATCTGTAAAGTAAAGATAGTTATATAATAACCACAGAGGTCTGTGGTGAGGATTAAGTGAGTAGTATTAATGCGGATTAATAATAATAATGCTAGAGGCTATGACTAGGAGTTGAACAAGGTCGCGAGGCCTAGACCTTTCTGTCTTCGAGGATCTTCCCATCATGTGTTCTGAGCAGGAAAATGTCTGATGTCCACGCCAGTTCACGCCCACCCCTCTTTCACTGAAGCCAGTCAGGAAAGCTCAATGCCGACCACTTATTCCCAACAGCATTTTATTCTTGAGTCAAAGCATTGCCCATGAGATACGATCTTTGTGGGCCTCAGACCCATCGTCATGCATGTCATTGTGCTCCATAGCCTGGCTTTTTCCTTCCAATGTTGTGGGCAAAAATACTACAGGACTGTAACCAAATGCCACCCTCGCCAGGTCCCCCAGTGCCAAGAGGAGTACTTGGCTCCTTTCTTAAAATTAATTAAGGAGGCAAAAAAAAATCCAGGTCTTGGTGCAGAGTTTGAGTTACTCATCACTAAAAAATGCTGGCTTTCCCCTCAAACTCGAGGGATGAGACAGGAAAACTACAGAGGGGTGAACACCACGCAAAAACCAAAGGGTGGGGACTTAACACGGAGCAGAACCTTCCATCAGGGATAAAGAACCTATCGAACCAGACCGACGGACAGCTGAGGCTCTGGCTGTGACAGGAGCAGGGCCTCTATCCCTTCACCATAGTCCCTCTGGGTGGCTCACAGAGACCGGAGCATAAATCAGAGAAAACTGACCCCCCGAGATGTGAGCCGCAGGGAGTCCACAACTCAGAGTTCACGATGCTCGTGGCCAAACTCCCTGACTGCCGTCTTGCGCACGACAGAAGCTCAGGATCATGCCCGCAGGTACAGGACGGCAGGCCAACTGGAGGGCCCTGCAGGATCCTGGAAGGGCCTCTGAGTCATCAGAGGAGAATGAAACATGTTCATAACAGTGTCAGTTTCAGAGCTGTGACTCGGAAGAAATCTCTATAACCTCTTAACTAATCTTCTCTGCCTTCTCTGCAGAAGAAAAAAAAAAGAAGAAGAAGAAAAAGAAAGAAAAGATCAATCGGGAAAAGCTTTCATCCTGGAAACGGCTAGCAGAAGCCGGAAGGGCAGAAAGAAACATAAATCACCCGCCTGCGTGAATCTTCTTGGTCACTGGACACTGGAGCATTAAGAGAGTGAAGCTCATCCCCAAATCCTACTTCCGAGCTACTCCATCAGGCTATCATTACAAATTGTCTCCAATACTCGTACAGGGGAGCGAATGTCACCTACTGGCTCCTCTTCCAGGTAGTTTGGGCTCTTCACTTGATCCCAGGCCCAGTCGGGACATCCCTTCACGACACGTGTGCACACGGCCAAGGGGTCAACATCCCACTGTAATAACAGGACGGACCGCAGACCGGGAGACTCGAAGGTCCGACCCACAAAGAGCCACCCTTCGAGGTCCCTTTCACAAGAGCTCCGACCCGGACTCAGTGAGAGCCAAAGGGTGTCCTTAAATAACAGGTGCTCCCAGGAAAAATTTGCTTGTTAGAGACCGGAGTCCACATTTTATGTAGTTTAAGAAGGAAAACAACCTATTCAAGAACACAGAGGGAGATTCTTCCTATAACAAAAATCTTTTCTAAACATCTTAAATTAGAAATAAAAAATAGCTTCTTGTGGGTGCAGTTCCAATCCCCAAGTTCCCAAACCGCTTACTCAGAAACCACCTGAGACCAGGGAAACAAGCCACTTCTAAACCCACACAGCCTGCAAGCCCATAGCTTATAAAACCAAGGACTTCACCCTGTAATCAGTCGAGCGGAGGCACACGGCCTCTAAGAAAGGGGAAAGCAAACAAGGACCCGGGATAACCATTACGGACATTCATGCTTGGACGGTTGGGCACAGCGGCGACTAATCCTGCAAATGCCTGATCCCAGGCCAAGGTGGAGGGTGAAAGAACAGTGTGTGACCATGTGCCCTGACATATGGATTTAATTCTCAGGTCAGGAGATGTCCTTGAAGAACCAAAGGCTGGGGGATGGAAAGGACTGGAACGCACGCTGTTTAGACCCAGGTTCTCTCTCTCCGTTCAATGGCAGGCTAGCCTCAGAGGGCCAAGGTTTCTGACGCATCTCCGCCCCACCTTGCTGCCACGCACAATGTTAACAGCAGCCAGGCACTCTGAAGCTGACGTGGTCGGATGACAACGTTCGACTGGGTTGGCCAAACAGTTCACTTGTTTGTTTGTTTGTCTGTAAGATGGCTCTAGCAGCACTTAGTTGATTTAACTTCATTCGAAACCATTTTGTTAGATTGTACTGGGACAGCTGTCATATCGGCATGCATTTTAAAGACACATCAAAACTGGTGAATTTTTGCATAGCCATTGTAACACCGAAGGTGGAAAAGAATATGCAACGTGTTTGGCATATGCTTTATGATTTCGAGAAAGGTAAAAATGCAACTGAAACACTAAAAAAAAATTCATTCGGTGCATAGAGAAGGTGCTGTGACTGATCAAATGTGTCAAGAATGGTTTGTGAGGTTTCATGCTGGAGATTTCTTGCTGGTTGATGCTCCGAGGTCAGGTAGACCAGTTGAAGTTGATAGTGGTCAAATCGAGACATTAATTGAGAACAACCTACGTTCTACCATGTGGGAGATAGCGACATACTCAAAACATCCAAATCAAGAGTTATTGGTGAAAATGAAAAATGTCTTTCATTTTATGGAAAAAAAAACTATATGGGTTTTTTGGCCAACCGAATAGATACTGATCTCCGCCACCCACCAACGACAACAAAACATCAGAGTCGCTGACAAGGACCAGACAGCTGAAGAGTCCATGTGCTTGTGAGTGAGAGTGTCCTAGCCTGACTCCTAAAACCACAGGGCTGTCAGGGAAGGAAGTAACCACACTTACAGAGCAGAACTTCTTCACCCTCGAAATGGAGAAAGACCTAACTTTGCTCCCAAGCCTAATTCGGTGAGGTTGCTCGGTCCATCAACACTCATCCTTCCCACAGTGCTTGCCATCAGCCCTGTCTGTGGCAGGGACAGATGGCAGAGGACATGGGGCAGTGATCAGGCACAATGAAGAGAAGAACATCAGCCCGGGCTCGGCCTGGCAGCAGAACCGGTTAATACTTCCCTGAAAGGCAGAATTCCTTTGCTTTGGGGTCTTCAAAATAAGGCGATGTTTCCATATTACACTGTGTCTCCTCTGTTCAAAATCCCTTAATGTCTCCCCATTGCCCACGGGGTAGAAAGGGAAGTCCTCGTCCTTTCCAGGGACCTTCAAACCTTTCAGGTGCCGTCTCTGGGACCTCATCTCCTATAACTCACGGCCTCACCCCCACCCCTCTGGTCAGACTGTCCCTGAATTAATCATGAACACAGCCTCTGCACTGGAATGTCCCTCTGCCCGAACGCTGGTCCTCAGGAAGCCACCAGGCTCGCCCCCTCACCGCCTTCAAGTCTCTGCTCAAAGGGCCCCTTCTCAGCGGGCTGTTCTCAGCCTCTCGGAATCTCTATCACTGCTCTGTCTTTTTTTTTGTAGTACTTACAAACTTCTAACATACTAGATAATTAACCAATTTGTTTAATATTTGTCTTCTCCCTGCACTTGAATGTCTATTTTCTTTACCAATATATCCTAAAGCACCCAAAAGAGTGCCTGGCACATGTTCAGTAATGATTTATTGAAAAACTGAGTAATAACACTTCTATATTCCAAATTCTCCATCAATCCTTCTAATTACACCAAAGAGAAAGTCTCAGGCTGGCAATGATCATCAATAATTCTACCACTTGGTAAACTCTTTTCTTCCTTTACTAGTTTTTTTTTTTTGTGTGTAGGTATAATTGACCCACCGTAAAATCCACCCATTTTATGTGTAGAACTCAATGACTTTTAGAAAATTTATGAATTTGTGCCCTCATTTCCCTTCTTAACATAAAGAATGAAGACTTTAGGCTCCCCGCCGCTGCTGCCAGGACCAGCTGCTGGAATCACACTGCTGTTTCCACTGACGACATTCTCCTGGTTACTTTTTCCTTTGGCCGGTGATACTGGTTTTCCACTCGCAGTGGTAATGTGAAGCTTCCTTCTTCGAGAAATTTATTTACATAAAGAATAAGTGGATGTTTAAGATGTATTAAGTAGATTTTTTCAATATGAGTCTATGGGGTTCAAAGACGAAGGAAGGTGGAAAGGGCATCGGTGAGGCCAGTGGCGTTTGTAAAACCGACTCACGGGACCCAGACCTGTGGTCTCACAGGACTGCAGAACTGGAGCTGATAATACGAAAAGCGAGGCCCTGCCCCTTGCTCCCTCGTATTTCTGCACTGGAGGCCAGGACGTGACTGCCCTTTGTGCCACACTCTCACTACAAGGATGCTCGTCCTGCGGGCATCCCCGGAAGGTATGGTTCCTCCCTCCAGAACGAAGGGCAGGTTTGCTAACAGACTTGGAGGATGAAGACAGTGCCTTGCTTTGGAGCAAAGAACAGGCATGCTGACTGCCTATTCTTATAAAGGATTTGGGTTCCCTTAGCTTGGGTGCCTCTCCTATAATTCAACCCCTCCGTGTGCACTTGCTCTCTGGCCCACTTGGCATTGCCCTGGGGAGACAGAGGCTTGGAGACCTGGCACGAAAGTTCTGATACTCTGCCTCCTGCTACTGTCGGGAGTAATACACTGTCCTTTTGTCTCTGGGAGTCACATGTCTTATACGAAACTATGGCAGATTCACTCGTGAGTTTGCCAGTAGGATCAGATCTTAGACCCTGCACAGTTCTTTAAAGCCCTCACCTCATTGTGGATTTCTTCTCCTTGTTTCAAAACTGCAGGCTCCAGGGACTTCAGAGACACATCTCCGCTGCCTGCTCCGTCACGGACGTTCTGCAGAGCCAAGTGGCAGCGCTGCAGGATATAGTCCAAGGTCCCTGTCGAGCACTGCGGAGAGAACCAGAAATCCAGATGATGGGCAGCTCCCAAGTCTAGGACTGTTGCCATCAGTCCCCTTTCTGTGCATTTCACCTGACACCCTCACAGCTCGGTCTGTACTCCTTAACTTAAGCTTGTCTGCTCTTCCAGATTAGATTTGCGAAGGTGCAAGAAGAATGCACATAAGCAGCCACCCACTGCAATGGATCCAGAAGAACAGGCTTCTTGAGTGGATTATGGCTAGAACAACAGATGCCTAGAACATCTCACGCTAAAGTCAAGTCTTTTTCATACAACGCAAAGCACGTATTAAATAACCTGTAAAATGCTCACTTGCTTGCTCTTCTCTTTCCTTCCCTCCTTCCTTCCCTCCTACCTTCTAACAGAACTAACTTTTAGGTCTTTAAAATAATGTTTCCACATTTATTTGTTTATTATTTGTCTCCCCAACTGAAATGGAAGTTCAACAAAGGGAGTGGCCATAACAGTTGTGGCAATGGCTGTATCTCTGGAGCTCGTGGTGCTGCTGGACACATGACAGGCACGCAGACATTTAGGTGGATGAATGAGTGGAAGAGAGAAGACGGGAAGGTGAGGAGGAAGGAGGAAGGGATGCTTGATGGGCTTGCTGGCCACTTGACTGAAATGGATGCCACGCCCTCCCGGCCTGCACAGCCACAGGACCAGTCCACCAGAAAGGCTGCCTGATTCCCAAAAGGCAGGCCACCGCCTGGCAGACTCACGGTCTTGGCACTGAAAAGGTCTCGCACTCCCTGCCATGTAGCCGAATCTCTTCTGCCCTGCTTTCTCCAACCGCGGCACAAGGCAAAGCAAAGTGCATATAACAAGCTTGGAAAGCGGTGGACCCATAATCCTCTCCGTGATTACCCCTCTGCTCTTGGGCACCCTTCCTAATGACACACACAGCACCCTGGGCTGACTACAAAGGGTTTTCGTTGCTGCTGACATTCCCGTACTGAGCTAGTCCAGTCATCTGACCGTCGGCCACTCCGAGCGGTGGCAGAATTTCGCAATCAAGTCTGCATTGCAAACACAACTGGGGAGCCTGGAAATTCCTGGCTCCGCCGCAACTCTCTTCTTCATTTACATTCACATGCCCAGAAGCCTGACCAAAAAATTAAGGGCAATGTAAACTCTCAACCATCTGCGCCCAATCGCAGCTAACACATGCACGCGCACACAAATCCGCCCCGTTTCCTTCTGGCCGTCTCCTGCCTTTGACCTTGACAGATACAAACCCCTTAGAAAATCTCTAACTAGCAACACCTGCCAATGGCACTTACCTTCTCCAAGAAACATAAACCCAAATAAGCAAAATATACTTATCCCACGCTGTGAATACACTTTTAAAAACTATTCAACACAACTCAGAGCCAAGAAAGCAAGTAAACAGAGACTGCAGTCAAGTTAGATGGAAGCAATTTTCCTATCAAATATGCTTCCAAAGTTCTATGATAAATTGCTCATTCGACCACTTCTGCCACATCCAATTAATCTGAATCACACTTTTATTTACACTTACCTCGGCCACTCGGTGGGTGGAACTGAACCGAGGTGGTAAACCAGCCAAAACACAGTGTTGGTGGGTGGCATTGAGATCATCTGCAGGAAAAATACCAAAAATTAAAAACAAAACCACACATGCACACACTTAGTCACTATATACTAGTTAACAAAAATACAAAGTAAACAAGTAAATCCATCATTCAAAAAAAATAACAGTGGCCAAAAACCGAACAATTACATTTTATTCTTAAAACCATTGTTTATAAATTCAATGACCGGTAAAACCATGACACTTTCAGGAGCGAAAGGGGATGTGATTAGTATTTATCTCAGGACGACAGGCCCATACGAGGACTGTCCCTCACAGACGGGACATGTGTGGTCACCTTAGTTACTTGTAGTCTTATGATGCCCACTCCCCACAAAGTTAAAAATTTACAGATTGGACTTCTTTCTCTTTCTTAGGATAGATCTGATTCTACACATGCCTTTAAAATAACCTGAAACTCGTTCACGTTACTTGGGGTTGAGTGTCTTTCATCTGAAAACCTTCCTCTTTCCTCAACGTGTCGGTTTTGCTCTAACACTTTTCCAGGCAACAAACCAACCAACTCGGCATCTTGCAAAGCTCTGGCTCTCAGAACAGAATTCAAGCCTGTGGACTGACAACCCAAGAATGGGGTAGGTGGTGAACTCATCCACTGAAGAACACGCCTAAAACCATGGGCAGTGGAGGAACATCAGTGTTGTGCATTCTAAGACATGACGCCGAGTGTCGGGGAAAATTGATGTCACCTCCACTTGGCCCGGCGCGTCCCCTGTTACAAAGAAAAGAACTGAAGGGTGCTGTTTCCCAGCAATGTGCACGAGAAGAAGACAATGACTTAACACTAAGAAGCCAAGAGTGCTACAGCCTTCACATGCTGGCAAAAAACACCTATACGGTTACCTCTAAACATGAGAAAGGAAATGTGAAATGGCAGTGGAAGGACTCTCGCTTTCAGGCGCTGTGGAGGAAGAGTGACAAGGTTTACCCTCCGACCTCAAACTACAAAATAGACCAACGGTAGCAAACAAAGGTTCCGACACTGGCAAACACAGCAAGATACAGTCCGAAGGTAAGAGAAATGATATGTAGGGAGCCCTCCGACTGCCCTAACTCACTCCCTGAAAACAGTTTCAAAGTCACAGAGTAGAGAGGAGGAAGTCAGGACACTCAGGGTTCAGTTTTCCTTCTTGCTGAGTTGGGAAGGCAGACACTAGAGTGTGTTCAGCAGACTACAGGGATAGAAGAACCTGCACACAAGAGACAGAGAGAAAGAGAGAGAGAGTGCACACAGACATCCGTGCACGTGTGAATGGAAACTGCCCAAGGGCAGGAAAAGCAGCACCAGGAAGCTACAGGCGGAGCACATCTCAGACCACACACAGGGCCGGGAACCCCCTGTGCTCGCAGCAGCAGAATGGCTCCTACCACATGAGATAATGAATAGAGTCTTCGGAAAAGCCTCATCTTAGCAGTAGTGCTAAATGCATCTTAGATTAAAGGCTGCTCTAGCTCCGCCTAACAGATCAAAAGCAAGCCTTAGAAGACTTAAACCTCTTCCAGGTCATTTAGTCACTCATTAGAGCAAAGGCCAACAAAATCAGGTACTCCACAATTCCAGGCAGAGACAGGGCCAGGGTCAAGGCACAGGCGTGGGAACGGGCTGGTTGTACTCAGGGAGGAAGACAGGCCAGTGCGAGGGCAGTGTGGTGAGCAAGGGGCACGTGGGAAGCTGAACAGATTATGGAGGTCGGCTGTGCTAGGAATCCGTGGTTTTATTCTAGACAGGACACGAAGCCTTTAGAAAGTCTCGAGCAGGGATAAAATGTCATCTAAGTTTAAAACAGACCACAGTGGCAGCTTTATAGAAAAGAGGTGGCAGGGGTGGGGGGACTGGTTTGGAACAGGAAGACCAGCTGGGGAACTGGTGCGGTACTCCATGAAGGAGCCGACAGTGACTTGGACGGTGGTGACAGCAGGGTGATCGTGAGCAGTGGCTGGAGTCACAAGGTTTTAAAGGGAAACAACAGGACCTGCTTAGGAACTGGGTACGTAAAGTGAGGGGGGAGTGAGGTTGGAGACAACATGGGGGTTCTCACTGGCACGACTGATGGAAAGTTCACGAAGCCACAAAACATCAGGAGTGTGGAATAAACAGCATTGCAAAATGCAATAAAGTGAAACCGTCGGCGATACCCCTGGAGTTTTAGAGTCAAATGCAGAGACAACGGGAAAGGCTAACAGAGAGGGTCAGAGCAGACCCAGCCCCGGCAGACGGGGGCCCAGAGGTGCAGCTCAAGGCCTGATGAGGACTGGTCTCCCCTCTACCTGGCCCTCTCCGAGGATTCTGGGTAAGGACACCCCCGAGAACCCCTGGTTGTTCCAGACTAGCTTCCCTAATGGTGGTTTCAGAGTCAAACAAACAAACAGACAAACAAGCAGAGGCTGGAGGAGGTTCCCATCCTAGATTTCCATAAAGGGGCGAAACAATTTCTAAGAAACACATAAAGGCCATTCTCATCTACCCAAACAAAAGCCTTAGTGCTCCTGTGCTATTGAAACTAGGATGCACAGCCCTGACCGGGGGTTCAGTTGGTTAGAGAATCGTTCAGGTGTGCCAAGGTTGCAGGTCTGACCTCTGGCCAGGGCAGACACAGGAATCAACCAGCGAATGCATAAATAAGTGGAACAAGAAAACTCTCTCTCACCCCCTCCTTTCCTTACTCTCTCTCTAAAATCAATCAATCAATCAGTCAATAAAAATTCTAGGATCTACAGACATCATAATGGGGAGAAGTTGTCTTAATGAACGGATTTGTGCAGTGCTTTTGTTCCACTGAAGGGCAACAGATCTGATGCAGACCAAGTGGCAAACACAACACGCCAAGCACTGCTTTGAGGCTTGTACCTTTATTTAAATCCTTGGCGACTCTCTAATCCAAAAACTCTCAATTGGCCCCAACTGTCTCTAACTCTGCATGGCTGTTAGAAAGAACCTTGTCATTTTCCTTTAAGAGCTTCTAATTTACCTAAAATTCAAAGCCTCTACAAGTGTCTCAAGCTTCATGGACTGTACTTCTCAAAGGGTGTATACGAAAGATGTTCCGAACTTTAAAAGTGGACTCCTGATAACTTTTAGAAAGAAAACACTAAAGAACGTCTATTTGCCAGAGCCATCTCAGAATACAGCGAAAAGTTGCCTGACTCAATATGCAAGCGGACCCAGAGCTTGTTGAATGTATTCAACAAACACACAGAAAGAAGCTGTCACCCTTTGCTGACAAACGCTGCGTGCCTTATCGTGGGTGAAGAGGGCTGCAGGCCATCACTGTGGCATGAAATCTCGTCTCATATATAAAAGACCGCAGCGGCAAAGGCTTCATTTGCACCATGGTGACCCATTCAGGCCCAGGACTTTCTTGGTTTTAACACCCAGGTCTCTCTTCCTCAGATCTGTCCCCCGCCCCCCCACTGAACTGTAGCCCCCTGTGTTAGGGCTTCAGAGGGCGCCCTAACAGTTGGTCCCTCTGAATTTCACCCAGCCTTTACTTCCTTGGTTTTGTGGTCCCCTGTGTCACCGTGGCTACTGCATCCCAAATTTCTTAAAGTAACAATCAAGGGCTTCGCCGACGGCACACCTGGGCGAAATAAGCCCGATACTGAAATCCAATCTTTCCAGCTTCACACAATCACTGGAGCTTTTCGTTCGGACTCACCTGTCCATCCTCATCCCTCAATCTCAATATTTATGACCTTATTTTTCCTGGAGGCAGGGACATCCACGACTGAGACCATTTTCAGAACCTAAGGGCCAGTGAAAGGAGAAGTGTCCTGGCAAGATGTCAGCACAGACTCAGGCCTGCACCTGCCCCGTCCCTAGACTCCCAGTGAGACAGGCCGTGGCACACGGGGGGAGACGGAACCTTCTTCCAACACTAAGTATTAGAGAAAGGTGCTCGATCAGGCAGAAAGGCCAGGAGTGGTGCTGGGTACAGCAGTGGGGGGATGAGTTTACAGAAGGCTGCCACGTGACGGTCGGCTCTGAAAGAGCGGCATCCGGGTGAGTCCGCCAAGTGAACCCTGAGAGGAGCGCTCGGCCCCCAGCCCAGGGGGTGAGGGGCACCCGGACCTTGGCATAGGCTGCTGGCACAAGCGGCCACTTTAAGAAGCGAGCCTGGCACTGAGGGGGTCAGAAGGCGGTCAGGCAGGTATGCCAAGGATGGGCGGTATAACAGATGCAGTTTTAAAAGAGCCGCACCCTCTCCCCTCACCCAGGTATCCCAGGTCTAGTAATTTTCCCTAAAGAAAAGATCACTGATGCAGAGAGACTGATGGGCCAAGCTGTTCACCGGAGCCCAGTGCATGATATCAAAACACTGGAAGTGAATAAATGACCAAAGTAGAGGCTTACTACTTCAATCCCTTTTAAGAAACCCACTCTCCAGGAATACTTAATAAGAACAAATGTTTCAGATAGAAGAATATAGAAGAAAACCCAGATACAAAATGTTACATCTGATATTTTCTTTAAAAAAAAAACATATATTCCCACCTATAGAAAGAAATACTAGAACAAATCAGGCCAAATAGGGTGGATGATATCACCTCTGTGATGTTACGATGTATTTTTATTACCTACCTCATACTTTTCCTACGGTTTGTAAAGTCTTTAAAAAAGGCACACACTATATTTCATCAATTCCAAGGCCTGTATTTTTTTTCTTCATAGTTAAGATCTCTGAAATTGGCCTACATCTTAAAATTCACGGCATCTTTGGGTGACATATACAACTGCTTCCACACTTAGCAAGGAAAAATAAAACGGTGAGTATCGTTATTTTTGAAAGATCCAAAGCAAACGTTCAGTGAAGAGATGCTCCGAAAAGAGGTGCTTGTTGCCCAGACAAAAACGATGGCACACAGCCATCGGTGAAGGCGACAGAAGCTTTGATTAGTTTTGTGTATCTCCCCTCAAACACAGTTTTCCGTGGGAGTGAAAACTCTTATAAAAACAAGTACAGAGGTGAAGATGACCTCAGGGTACACAGCT